TAAATATCATTTTAAAATATAAAATTCATTACAAATTTTACTGTGTAGTATATTCTATAATTATATATTTATTATATACTGATACCCGTCTGGGCCCCTTTGGCCTGACAGTGAACTGTATTGGTATTCTCTGCCTGCATGGCAGTAACCTGAAATTCAGGCCCTAATTTGAAATAGGGCCTGACACAAAACCTATCTAAACCGTGGGATTCCCGTCCATCTGGTGGACGGGAAATCTGATTGGTTGATCAGCATCATGAAAGATTTTGATTGGTTGCAAGTTCACATAAACAATATTTTATAAATAGCTCGGTCAATGTGACAAGGTCAAACGATCAAATTCCATTGTGATTATCGTAATAGTATATTGTCGAATTTCTTCGAATTTCTTTTGTTTAATATGCTTTATGGCAGAAAATAAATCAAACACACATTATTTTGAAAGGGCTTTATCAAAATCTTTCACTTTGACGAAGTTTGGACACACGACGCTGAAAGAACAGCAAAAGTCGTGCATTCGAAAGCTTGTTGTTGACAGCCAAGGCCCAAGATATCTTTGCCATTCTGCCAACTGGCTTCGGTGAAAGTCTTATTATCAGGTCCTATCGGCGTTGAATATCTGAGCTATATTGCGGAAAGTAGATCGCAGAGAACGAAACTATTTGCATTCAGTCCTTGCACAGAACTGACTAAATCTTTGTTTGCTGTTCGGTTAGATTAATAAATAGAGAAACTGAACTCTTAAAAGTACCTTGAATTTTTAAGTTTAAAAAGCAAAATGCACACTCTGCGAACATTTTCATGAGAATATAAAAACAAATAATCCAACATGAAATGAATATCTTTATATTTTTCGTATTTATTTTCGTGCAATAAAATCTACAACACTTGTCAATCATATTGTATGACTGTGTCTAAAAATAACATGTGGGCGTCCACGGTTTAGACAGGTTTTGTGTCAGGCCCTATTCTAAATTAGGGCCTGAATTTCAGGTTAGCATGGCAGCGACCTGTATTTCTTCATATTGACACAGGCCAGTATATTTCTTGCATTCAGAGGGGAAGGGAAATAACTAAATGATCCATGCTACATAATATACTTTTATATTTGAAAAATGTTTACATACCTTCAGAGGGTGCTTCGGGCGTCCTTTTCGTTTGGGTTGACTGCCATCTTTTCGGAAGCATATCCTGGCATACTGTTCAATTTGAACAGTTGTCTTGTCGGTAAATATCACGTCTTCAAACGTGTCCTTGTTGAGCAAAGCATTGGAAGCGAATATAAATCTTTTCATCTTATTTGGTTCGCGGAACAAATTGGCAATAACGAGCAGTTTCGCTTTTTCAACTCTGCCGATGTAAGCTCGTCGTTTTCTTTCATTCTATCGTCAATGAATTTGACATGGTCATTGCTTAATTTTGTTTTTCTGCCACTTCTCTTCGCATCTTGAATGCTGCCAGTTCGTCGATATCGAGACAGAAAAGAGCTCACTGCTGATCTCGAAGCTTTTATTCCTTCCCCTTGCAGTAATTTTGCTATCTTAGTTACGCTTTCTCCTGAGGAATACAGGTTAATAACTCTCTCTCGAGCATACGCGGACAATTTCGGCATTTTAAAACAAAAATTTGTCTCGAAATTTGTAAGCGACCGACAACTTCGAAAAATCAAAATAGACGCTTAATCGAAAATTCGGAAACGATCGTTAATTTCCGATTACGGGACGAACAAATTGCGGTGCTGTCTCGCCAACGGTCGACCGCGGTTTTTGTTTCGGTTAAACGCGGTCAAAACTTTGTCAACCTCGGTTAAACCTCGGTCAGACCTCACTCAAACCGCGGTTAACGTCGGTCAAACCGAGGTCTGACCTCGGTCTGACCTAGGTTTGAACGAGGTTGGACCTAGGTTGGACCTAGGTCTGACCTAGGTCTGACCTAGGTTAACCGCGGTTTTTGTTAGGTTATTTCTGGACAGTACTGTATATTCAAGTTAACGAGACTCTCTCTCGTCTAACGAGACCCTAACTCGTTAGGATGAATGTGCTCAACTTTCAGTACTTTTTTATTTTACCTTGTCTAACACCAGATCAAATATTTTACTTGTGAAGAGAGTGGACAACTTTGATAGGTTATCTTGCTGTCCCCCTGTGTTATGTGTAAACTCATTAAGACCCAATTCACACTAGTCTGCTCTATTTCAAAGCTCAATATTTTGGCCTGTCTAACACCAGACTATTTTGCATTTAGATGCAATTCATCCTAACACTCCCCACTTTCAGTACTTTTATAATTAATTATCAGATGATTTTACTCATCAAGATGAGTGTTGGTTATTGAAAGGTTAATAATCGACTGCAAAAGCTGCTGTGTTGGCATATTTAGAAGCAATGTGCCTTACTTTTAGTGCTTTGATATTTTATTAAATATTTATTCCATTAATGTGCCAGACTCTCCACTTAACAAATAAAATTGTCTTACATTAGACAGAGTAACAGACGTTCCAACTTGACATCTCCAAAAATCGGGAGGTCTGGTAAAGGCAAGAAAATGTTGACCTCTAGTGTGACTGGGTAGAAAATTTAGAAAATTTAAACTTTCTTTCAGAAGCGCCATTTCTTGATTCCGAGACTCGTGAATACAACAACTGTAAATTTCCGCCTTTCATGCGAAATATTATGAAACTTTGTCGTACAAAACACCCCTCTTGGCGAAATACCACTTTTTTGTCGATCCGACAACCGTTTTTACTGTACGCGAACAGCTTTTACAAGGATTCTTTTAGAAAAAGTAACATTTTTTCTTTTCATTCGTAAATCGGAGGTTTAAATATAAATCGGGAGACTTGCCAAGAAATCGGGAGCCTCCCAATCAAATCGGGAGGGTTGGAACCTTTGGAGTAAAATCATAAATTTGGTGCAAAAATGCTTGATGGAAATTTGGCTGCAGAATATAGGGTATAAATTTTCTGTCAGCATAATCATTTTTGTCAAATCGGGCAAAATCTTCACGTTTGAATTATTTCGTCCTGCAGATGATAGAAGTTGTAGAAGGATCTGGCATGTTCTGTAATTGCCACCATTGGGCATATTGCTCTGCAAGGCCCTACACCAAGTCAGGTGATACAAAAAATAAACATGAAAAGTGTAGAAGCCAGGCATCCACAAAGAGTTTGAATAGTCTGTAGTCAAGCCCACAAGTTGAGAGGACTGAGGACATTGTAGATACTGATACAGTTGTATAGATCAATAAGCACTTAGCACTTGACATCATTGCATGTTTGTATATATAGTTATACCATGGTAATTTAGTTAGACAAACTCTGCAAGTTCATTAAGAAATAGCAAATTAGTTAGCAATTTTGTAATTTGTTTATTTATTAACTATATGTTATTTATTTGTGTATTGTGTTTTTGAAGATTTTTTGCATGTTAATAAAACTATGTATTCCACCAGTACAATTTTTTTGAGCTGTAGCAAGTATATTTGGAATGGTATGGGCACTTGTTTTCATCCCATACCAAACCCACATGTGTTAGCATCTAGCATTTGGATGTTAGATGTTAGCATGGGTTTGGTATGGGATGAAAACAAGTGCCCATACCATTCCCAATATAATATGATAATTGTTGCACCCATACCATTCACATAGTTTATACATCAAGAACCATGTGAATTCCATATCATGTTCCCAGATCATTCCCATATAGAATCCTATCTTACCCATAGCAAAGTTGTTATGAAATGATATAAGGAACCCATGTATTTCCCATGGTAAGTCATGTGGGATATGTATGGATTTGTACTAAATACGTATCAAACCCATATCAAAAACATGATATGGGTATGCTATGAAGGCAACCAGGCCATACCAAAGCCATATACCTCCCATATATGGCCCATAGTTTGAACCATATCAATCCCATAGTTGGTCCATATATGTCCCATATAATTTGGTTTTGTAAGGGAATTGTTCTATTAGCACACAAGATTGTTCTCATAGCTTTATTTTGGATTTTTTCAACTCGATTAGAGAGAACAGACCTGCAATCCTGCCATATGATTGAACCATAGTCGATAATAGGCGGGATTGTTTGTTTGTAAATTCTAAGAAGAACAGCTGTAGGTAAAAAGCTTGAAACACGATTTAGTAATTTCATTTTGGGATACAATCTTTGGCATAACCGATCAACATGAGGTTTCCATGATAGGGTATTAGTCATTCGAACACCCAGATAATCGAACGTGGTTACTTCTTCTATTTTGTTGTTAAAAAGATGTATCTGTATATTTTCAGCTTCAGCCTTTCTAAGAGCAGGGCACGAACCAATTAACATTGTTTTGGTCTTTTTAATATTTGCAATCATTCTATTCCCCTTCAACCACTGTTCAATGTTTTGAAGATCATTGTTCATTGCTGTTTCAGCACCATGTACGGAAAAGTGGGACCAGTGCGCTTCATAATCATCAGCGTATAATGTAGTTTCAGAATGAATGAAGTGGTCCGCGATCGAGTTGTAGTATACCCTGAATAACGATGTTGAAGGCCTTTCTCAGGTCTAGGAACACGGTAACAGTGTATTTTTTCTGATCGATTGCCAACTTCCAAGAATTGGTAACTCTGATCAGTGCAATTGTAGTCAAGGTATTTCTAGTATATGCAAATTGAGGAGATTCATTTGTGCCATTTAAAGCAGTAAGGTGCTCATTCATTTGTAAGTTTGCTACAGATTCACAGATTTTGGACAGACACGGTAATAGGGAAATTGGCTTATAATTATCGTGTTCGTATGATTTCTGCCCTTTGAAACTCGGGATAACTTTCGCGATTTTCCATTGGTCTGGAAAGGACCCACTTATTAAACAACAGTTTATCAGGGATGTTATACTAGGTGATAAACAGTCAGCAGCAATTTTAAGTATCTTTGGAGCTATCATATCTGCCCCCGCAGCTTTATTTGGTTTTAAGTTCTTTAACATTAAAGGTTGTATACATGGAGTGAAGCAGAAAACGGATTGTGTTTGAAAGAAAAATGGAGATTTTTCAACGTATAATGGCAAATAGAAAACAAACTTGGCTGAACTTTCCTGGATCCCAGAACAATGAGAAAGATTTATATGTGATTGGCAAAACAATGAACTTGTGTTGCAGAAAGGCGAGAGGAAATCTTACGAACAAATGAGTAAGATGGAGGAACACTGGATGAGGCTTTGTTACAGTTTGGTTGTGGACAGAAAAGATCTTATGAAATGAATGATGGTGCAACTGATGAGGTTAGTAATAATTATTTTATTGTGACAAATGTCAAGCAAGTGAAAGTCAAAAAGTTCTGAACCACGGATGTACATTACACTGTTCAGTTTATGAATATGTTTGCTCATTTGGAGCTCCCCGAGTTTCATAATTGCCTTAATGAAATATTTCAAAGTGTGCTAGATACCATCACCCGAGATATATGTATTGTTATATTTGAATATATTTACAGGGCATGAATTATCTGGACAATACCGCAAACAGAGACAAGAAATGCCTCATGCCTAACTATTACAAGGTCTTGAGAATTGTAGTGGAAGAGAAGTAGAACAATCCATAATTAGACATTACCTATGGTTAATGTTATGTGATGCTGAAAAGAGTACTGCTACAAGGGCAGTCACTTCTACATTACCTTCATGTAACATTACAAGGAAGGTGAAAGGTAGTCAAAATTAGGATCCTTTGTAGTGCAATGCCCAATGTTCCCCTCCCCCAGTAAAGTACACCTCCCATTGTCACAACAAAACCTTGCTTTTACTGTAAACCAAAAGCTCAGTCCATTCATAAATGGGGTATGTAAACATTTTCTGGAAAAATGGGGGAAACCAAGCCACAGAGACTCAAAAATACAGTAATTTTCTGGGGGACCACCAGACTCCCTTCCAAGTTTGCGCACCTTCAATATACCACATTCTTGTTAGGTCCCTTTTTGTCGATGCCCCACTCCCATCCATTAACAATTCCTTTTAAAAGGTCTTCTGCTTGTTTATTAAAAATTATGGTATTAATTAACCTAGTATACCTGACAGTACCCTTCCATGGGATTAGACTGTAATATACCAAAGTAGGTATTGAAAGTATTTCCATTAAGTATTCCATTACATAAAACATCCTGCTGAATTTCTGTACTTAAAAATAATACCCGACAAGGCACCGACCTGGCAGGTAGTTTTCATTCATTCATTCATTCATTCCATAAAATATATAAATGTTTCCTGGACAACAAGAAGCTATGTGTATAACAATTTCACAAGAAAACCAGTCCATGTTGTTGAAGGAAATATGTCGCAAGTCAATGATCAAATATAGTCTAGGACCTGTATGAGTTTGTATGCATTTCATTTAGAACACATAATCTCAACTGTTTTAGGGCAAGTTGACCATGACGGTCGACATGGTAACGCTGCCTGAACCCTAATCCGGGGCAAAATGTCCGAAACTGACCACACCCATAAATGACGCTCTCGCCATAGTGCTATCTACCAAAGCATAAAACCTTGGCTATTTGAGGTGCTCATATGGTTCAGAGGTGCTTTCAGGGGTGGTAAGTGTGAAATGCCTAGCACTGATATTTCACAAGAAAATGACCATGCAATACTCATAGCCAAACGTCAATTTGTGACTTACAAATTCAGATAAACAGCAGTGGACCTACATTACTTTTTTCCCTAAATCTTTTTTATGGAAACATAATGGGTACTTATTTAAGTATATTATCACTGCTTTGCTGTAAAATAGTTAATACTTTGTGACCGAAATAATAATTTGAAATGTACCCACCTCCTGCAAATGGATGTATTTGGCCAAATTCTCCAATTTACTCCACTGTTTATCGCCAATCTCGTTGAAATCCTTCCAAATATGTATGGCAGCTCGGACATAATGGTATCAAGCACATTTTAAACAAGTTTTAAATAGGTTTCAAGCAGATCCTAGCTGTTTAACCATCGACAAGGTAAAACCACAACTTTGTCCAATTCGTCGCCATTTTGTCATCCCATGTCAGTTGTAAGCAATTTGGTATTGTTATTCTTCCATCCAAGCCATTTTCTTTCCACTAATAACAAATTGAACCCTATGTTAAGGGTATCAAAATAAATATGTAAACAAAATAGAAAAAATACAGCATTTTATCACCCTGTAAAATGTTGCTCACGAGTCTTTCAAAACATTCTGTACACATCGAAGGTACTCATTCTGGTATTCATTTCCTCATAGCAAGGGTAATCATTCTGCCCCCGGCTATATACACCCGGGGAAAGCATTAGCGAAGTCTAAAGTTCATCAATGATCGCTTGGTGGGTGACCAACTGTGGGTGGTCATCCTCGCTGATCTGAAATATATGGCTGTTTGCCAGGAGTGGGATAAGCAAGATTTCAATTTTCAAAAAATAGTATATAAAAAATAGTAATAGTATTTTATATATAGTATATTTTGTATAATTTACAGGGCTTATACTGTATATAGCATATTTTCTCAAGGATGTCAAAACTGTTTAATAGGGTGACTATAAATGTAGAATCAAGTCTAAGGTCGCGGTCACACTAGCGCTTGTGCTTGAGGATTACCACCGGATTAGCGTGCTTGCTTGAACACATACCAAGCTCGTGCTAGAATGTAAGCCAAGCACGTCGCGGTCACACTCAGAAAAGTATAGCGTGCTTGTTTGCTGTTGTTGACAGATGACTTATCTAATAATCTAAAAGTCTATTAAAAACAAATTCTTGAGATTTTGTAACAGTTTAGGCTAGTTCGGGTATATATTTTAACTAGATGGAGGACGCATCTTTGCTACTGCTATATTATAAATACCAAAGAATGCGCGATTCCGCTAGGCGCAGATCGCTAGCCAGAAGAAGGAGACGGTTGTTTCTTTTATTGCAAAGAAACAACCAAAACATGATGTTCTTTCAATATGTCCGAACCATAAGTTTAGCTATGATGATGATTGCGAGAATGGTTGGTCAAATAAATCAACGTCAGTACTGGGAGATTCCGAGACCACGACTGGGGTGGTTTGAAGTAATATTTGGAGACGATTGTCAGGCAGGTTACTGGAAGGAGCATTTTCGTATGCGCAAAGAGACATTTTTACGGCTGGTAGACTTCGTAACCCCAGAAATCGCTAAGGAAGACACTATATTTCGAGATGCTATCCCCCCACATAAGCGAGTAGCTATTGCGTTATGGCGACTGGCAGTAGGTTCAAGTTTTCGTGCCATCGCTGCTCATTTTGATGTAGGAAAGTCAACGTGCGTCAAAATAACGAAGGAATTTTGCCAAGCTTTGAACAAATTATCGAGGCACTATATTAAATTTCCCACTAGTTGCGATGAAACCACACGAGCGTTGGCGCTATTTCAAGATGATTGCAAATTCCCACATGCAGTTGGGTCAATAGATGGTACCCATATCGAAATTATTGCACCGGAGGAACCTTTTGACTATTTTGATCGACATCATCGCTATAGCGTTATCCTGCAAGGAGTAGTTGGAAAAAACCTGACGTTTTTGGACACCGCAATTGGTTATCCTGGCAGCATGCATGACGCGCGAGTTCTACGGTCCAGTGACATATTTCAAAAGGCGCAAAATGGTGATATTTTGACAGAACCTCTGGCTTCAATCAATGGGGTTCAAGTTCGGCCTCTGCTGCTCGGGGATGGAGCATACCCTCTGCTTCCTTGGTTAATAAAGCCTTATCCTAATGGTGCTATTCTCAACTGTTCTCAACGCCGGTTTAACAAGACTCTTTCTTCAGCTAGATCCATTGTTGAAAGGGCGTTTGGAATACTAAAGGCAAGATGGAGAATACTTTTGAAAAGGCTGGACAACCGATTTGAAAATATTTCCGAAGTGATACTGTCATGCTGCATACTGCATAATTTTTGCCAAGAGGCCGGTGAAGAGTTTGACGACGAGGAAATTTTGCGCAGAATTATTTCTATAGACAGGGAATATTTGGAAACTAGACGGCAGGAAAACATTGTTTAAAATCCAGCCGCTGAACGTATTCGCTTGTCAATCGAACAGAGTTTACCTTAACTATAAACTATTAAATGCCAATGAAGAGAACATAGCCACAAAAATTATAATAATATATGATCAATATAATATATATTTTGAAAACAATATATGGTACAATATAATAGTTCGTAATTACTTTTTACTTATAGTTATTGTAGAATATAATAGAAAGAAACAGTTTATAAAATATCTATTAAATGTTTGTATGCAAAGTTCATCTACTTTTTCAACAATTCTGCCATTCGCAAGAAAAATTCTTGGTCTCTTCTCCGTGACTCTTCGTCCAGTTTTCGTTGATCGGCTTCCAACTTTACGAGTAATTCTTCCGTTCGCTTTTGCGCGTTCTCCATCATTTTCATTTGGGAGTTTTGCATCCCCACCAGCTTTTCTGTGAGGTCTATCATTGCACTCGCAGTGGTTACTCGACCTTTTTTTGCTTTTTTATTTTGTTTTCCTTTTTCAGACTGTTTTCGTTTAGCTGCGCGTCGCTCGACTGTAGTTGGTGAACTTTCTGAATCAGACCCACCCATTATTTCTGAGTCGGATTCCTGGTCCGATTCGTCTGAATCATTGGATGGATCTTGCGAACTAGAGGAGGAATCTCTGATTTGCCCACTCTGGATTACTCCTGGCATCGTCACAACGGCCCGCGTACCAAGAACCTCGTCAAACGAGTCATAGTATGGACTGGTTTGGGGTGGCCGTCCAGTCTGGTTGTTGTTGGTCTTCGCTTCTTTATATGCCTTCTTGAGGTTTCGAATTTTGTCTTTACACTGTTTAACAGTCTTTCTACTACCCGCCTTGTTTACTTCGGCAACGATTTTGTGCCAAGTTTCGGTTGCTCTTGCACTTTCCACTTCCTCAACTCTTTCTTTCCACTCACTGACGAGCACACTGGTTTGTGCTTCCCCCCATTTTGTTCCCACCGATTTGGCGCCAATTGCATCGCAAGTTACTGTTTTGTTAGCCGTAGAAGTCGACGCACAGGTAGAACTAGACGACGCGCAGGTCGAACTAGTCGACGCGCAGGTAGAACTAGTCGACGGGCGGGTAGCACCGACTTCGAGCACAGTTGGAACTTGTCTACGTTGCGGTGGAGGTGGCGTATGAGGAAAATACGGATAAAATGGTGGTGGTGGTTGCGCAAACATCAAATTTGGATCTGGCCTCGAACGAGCAATAGCAGGATGATTTTCGTTAATGCGAAAAGGATTTGAATACATGAAGACAGCATCATTTTGATAATTGCATTCGTCCGAACTACTTGGCGTCTGCGACATTTTCGCTTATCAATCTTTGTATTCAATCGACTTTGGCGCGTTAATGGCGTGAAGAGAAATATAATAATTTGAAACTACCGCTTCTGTCTAGAGGTTAAAAATGACATGTCCAAATTACCTGTCTATTTGCCTCTTAAAACTGAAAATTCTATTGGTTAAAATATCTAATCCACTTGAGATGCGCATTCTAGCACGATCCAAACACACTCTGTAGTGTGTTTGGATCGTGCTGCGGCGCCTTTGAATTTTCAAGCAAATCGTATCAGATTTCAAGCGTGCTTGAGTTTTCCATTTTGCGCGGTCACACTAGCAAGCATGCTTGGAAGGTGATATGTTGACAGATTCAAGTGGATTTAGCTCAAGCAAGCACGATTCAAGCGCTAGTGTGACCGCGACCTAAGTGGCACCCCCCCCCCCCTTCCCCCATTGCAAGACATTTGGATATTTCAAATCAAATTATTCATCATAATGCAATCTGCTATAATTACTCCGTACCTATGCCTTGCAGGTAATTGGTGCCAAACTCTTCCTGCAATATGGCCTTTTTAAATTTTTTGTAAATTAACCTTCTTCAAATAAAGTTTAATAATAATGGCATAACATTCTAAAGTAATGAAAATAATAAAGTAATATTAACTAAGATAATTATAATAATAAAAAACAATTAAATGCAACAGTGTTGAATAATTGAAGAATATATTGCACAATATATTATATTTATATTATGAAATTACTCTGTTCAGAGCCCAGATATAATTCTATGGGTTTAGACTACAACACTCATATAAATACAATCTGTTTTGGTTTAGAGTGGAACTGTGCAAGACCAAAACATGATAGAGTTCCTATCAGATGTGGACTTCCCAAGTCTCGGCAAAAGGCCATCCACATGGGAGCAGTGTGTCTTGGCCTTAGGAAAGGAGATGGCTACCCATTTTGTGAGCTGCTGCAACAATCTTCTCTCTTAATATTAATATCATTGATTGGAGAGGTGTAAGTAAATTATTATACACTGTACAGCAAGTAAAATAACAATATGAAATTGGTCGAAGACCCGTACTCAGGAAATAAAATAACAACATAAAACACTCACTGAGTTTCCAGCGATATACATACCCTTTTCTAGATATATACCTAATAATAATAAACGAACGAACGAATGTATTCCTTCCACTCGTGAGCTCATTTACCATTGTCACATATGGTAAATGTCCAGGCCTTGTGACCCTGGATGGGCACTTAAAAGGAAAGAATACACACACACAAAGATTTATTCAACCATTAAAAGAGAACGATTGAACAACTGCGCATGAACGAACGTTCAAAGTGAATGCCTCTTGTTAGCCACCTACAAAATTATTATTAGCATAACAATATGTCTCACTCATTTCCTTGTCGTCATATCATAACAAACCATATCAGGAAATATGAATATCAATTACAAACCTTTAGTCAAATCCATGACCTTCAGGAATATTTACCTACAACTGTAGGATTTAAGTGCAAAGCACCAAAAATAACAATATGAAATTGGTCGAAGACCCGTACTTATGCTAATAATAATTTTGTAGGTGGCTAACAAGAGGCATTCACTTTGAACGTTCGTTCATGCGCAGTTGTTCAATCGTTCTCTTTTAATGGTTGAATAAATCTTTGTGTGTGTGTATTCTTTCCTTTTAAGTGCCCATCCAGGGTCACAAGGCCTGGACATTTACCATATGTGACAATGGTAAATGAGCTCACGAGTGGAAGGAATACATTCGTTCGTTCGTTTATTATTATTAGGTATATATCTAGAAAAGGGTATGTATATCGCTGGAAACTCAGTGAGCGTTTTATGTTGTTAGCAAGTAAAATGTTGTCATGGATGGAAATTTTAGGTGAAAAAATATATACAATAAATTAAGACCTGACCAAGTAAAAAAGAACTCTTAAAAAATTAATTATAAAATAAGTCTTTGAATATTTTTTAAAAGTGTTTATTTACTTAATTACTTAAACAATTGTACAAATTTTATCTTTTAATTAATTATACCTTTAAATGGCAATGCACTTTGATGCACCCTACTTTAGTATTTTACTCTATGACAATTTTACTCGTCAAGTGGAGAGTGCTGTATTGCTGCCACTCAATGGGTTAACCACACTGGCCATGCATCTTCTTAACCCTTTATGTGGCAATGCACCCTGATGCACCCTACTTTAGTATTTTACTCTGTCTAAAGCCATAGTATTTTACTGTCTAACACCAGAGTATTTTACTCTGTCTAACATCAGACCATTTTACTCGTCAAGTGGAGAGTGCTGCCACTCAATGGGTCAACCTGTTTACATTTTCTCAGAGAGTTACAGTTGCCAAACCCTTTGGCTGTGTAATGGAATCATCTGGAAGCTCAGATGTTCATCTTGCATATTCAGGTGATCATTATATGCTTCTCATTGGCAAATCAAGGGTCCGTGTGAACGAAGAAGAACACTTAAAAGGTCATTGTTGACCCTCTTAAGCCCTGTTTACACTACGCTCAATTTTTGGTAGAGCACGGATAAAATTGGTACCGTACCACTTTTTGGTTCTTGGACTACCTAATACAGGGACTACCTTTACGAAAAATTGAGCATAGTGTGTGAATGTAGAATGTATGTTACTTTACAGTTATACCAACAGAGAAGCACAAAGGGGCAAAGCCATTTAAATACTTTGTGCCAGAGGAGTTTCATCCAGGAATAAGTCTCTTCAAGGGAACCCTGTTGAAGGTACTGTATGACAGTACATGACAGTACTCTCTGCACCACATTATAATTCCTCTATGTATTTTACTGTATCAAGCAGTCTATTTTTTCCCCAGCTGGATGAAATTGCGACTATTTCAGATGATGAAGGATGCTCTAGCAACGAAAATACAAATTGTGTAAGTTACCATCAAACTTAATTTAAAGCTGCAAAAAATCTTATTAAGTAAATAGAGAGAGAGAGGGAATATTACACAGTGGCACGATGACATGACTTTTATCTTCGATTGGTGAAAACAAAATTTTACGAACAAGCGCAGCGAGTGGGTAAAATATTGTTTTTAACACAGGAATTAAACTCCAACCAACACCGTTTATTAAACTGATTTCAACATAAACATGTACATTGGAACAGCCGTTGACTCAATAAATGGTAAAGAATATATAAATTACGACACATGTATATAGAGCATAGTTGCCAACTTTCATGGATCCACCATGAACATCATACAGTAGATTTTACTAAAACCTCACGGCAAGCTCACAGCTTGTTAATATCTCACATTTCAAAAATAATTTAACTGGTTCTTAAGTATGTTGGCTTTGTTGCACATTTTAACTATTAAGAGTGACTTCATTTGCATCAAATTACATAAAACTTTTTTCTTCTGCCAAAAATAAATAATCAAAACATCACTTCATGCAACCTCGTACTCGTGGTATTCAACAATATGGTTTTGAATATCTAAATAAAAGCTACGAAAATGTGTCTGTATAAGGTTAGAAGAATCTGAAAAATGCCATTTCCAACGATCTAGACAGTCCATATTTTCAATATTTCCCCCATGTATTTAGCTCAAGTTTTAAACAGGGATGGATTTACTGGGGGGTGCGAGGGGGGTGTGCACCCCCCTAGCCCTGGCCAGACGGGGTGCAGGGGGAGTGTGATATTTTTCACAAAGCAAAAAATTATAGACAGAAAAAATTATTGATGAGACAAAATAAGATCCAGTAATTTGAGTAATAAGATGATGATAACCAGAGATGGCAGAGCACACCACCACCACCAGATCGTGCTGGATCCATCCCTGGTATAATATATAATTTATAGACCCTCCGGCCTCCGCTTGGGGAATTCGTCGAAATATTACCCTCAGTGATATTTCACTTATGAATACACAAATATCATCATTTTGGATAATATTTAGATCTGTTGAATACTGTATATCCCCTCGCTCCGGGTCTATAAATGATAAATATATATTATTGAGTATTGAAAATGTTCTCTTTTATTAAAGGACTCTATGTATAACCACCATAAACATTAGTTCTGATGAAAGTCTCGACACAAAGCCTACAATGTCTTTGAATAATAAAAAATCAAGAAAGCGTGCAAGACCAAAGAATGAAATAGCTGAGGAAATGGCATTATGTAAAATTCAGGTACAGAACAATGTTGTTTATTAGTATGTGTAAAAGTCTGCTGTTCTTTAATTAATTTAATTAAATTTGATAAGGATTTCTTGATTGTCTGTAAATTTTTTATTTGATCACTGCTTGATTGTTAAGAAAGTGTTACGCAAATCAAAAGGTTTACTCTTACTTGTAAAAAAATACCTGTGATTCCGACCCTATTATTTTTTCAATGTGAGTGGTTGTGGGCTGCTTCCGGGTGGTTGTGGGCTGCTTCCAAAATGGCGTATGTTGTCACAATGATCTGGTTTTTTGCACTTCACTTGGTGGTATTAATATCACCGATCATCTATATATACATGAACTTACGGTTACAGCTCAACAGCTGGACTCTGTAGCTCAGATGGTTAGAGCGCTGCACCGGAATCGCAGGGCCGTAGGTTCAATTCCAACCCGAGGACCTTGTGCTGCATTTTTCGCAGTTGTTCCTGGTCAGGCCTTAAAATGTATATATATACTCACTTGGATTACAAACTCTAAGAACAGCATTCAAATATGTTGTCACACTATTTATTGAAAAAACCATGAAAAAAAATTTTTAAAAAATTATTTCCGACCTACCGACCCTAATTTTTTCGCGATATGAAACCGGAACCACAGGTTTTTTTTACACCTAATTATATTAATTCGCTTTCCTTTCACAAACAAGACGACAACAACAACAACAACAAAATTCCTTTGACTTTATATCATCTGCTTTTCATTAGCAAGAAATTTCTGTGGAAGAACTTGTCTATTCAATGAGTGGCCTCAGTTCTACTGATACTACCCATGCAAAGAAATCTAAGGGTCTTAAAACAGCTAAAAGCAAATGGTCTAAGAAGTTGTTTGAATCTGGAGACGAGTAACTACTGTAGCCTCTCCTCACAGAGTTTGCTTTTTGAAAGGTCTATTTAACTAGACTCTGTAACAAAACTGAAACGACAGGGTGAAGCAGACAAGACAATGAATTACAGAAGGAATAAATAGATAGATATAGATAGAATTTTTTTATGTTGACACACTATTTTGAGATATTATTTTGAGAGAGAGATGGAAGCAGGTATTAAGGAACAGTGGCAACGCTAGTCTAAAAACTTTTATAGGGCTAAATGGATATACTGTATAGTAACAATCTTTATTACTCTTGTTGCTTCACAGGGATGACACTTTCATTCAAAAAGGTCAACGAAAATACATCAATCAAGAAAGTATTGATAAGTTGGAGCCAGTGCAGGTGTCTAAAGTACCCCCTACCCCTAATGGCAATGTGAAATACGAAGTGACAGTTGGAACTGGGACCGTTCGCAACCGTGTAAAAGAAGTGGGTTCTGCAAGGGTGTAAGGCGAACCCTTCAGATCTGCCGTGGTTCAATGGTATGTCGAAACCACAAATGCTCGTACAGAAAAATCCACAAGTCTCCAAATGTAGTTGATTTTACTCGTTCAAAAAAGTGCCTACACTGCCAAGGAGAGCCTTCAAGAATAAGTTGTTCTGCACGGAAATATGTAGAGAACAATCGCTGTCACGACAAGATGACAGTTGTTTACATTGGTGATCACTCATGCACACCAAGAGCAGTAGAGAAAAAGCCTGAGCAAGAAGAAGTCAAAAGTATTCTTCGAGAGAGACCTACAATAACAACTGGACAAATTCAAATGGAAAAAGTGAGACAGGCGTTGCTAAGTGGTGATGATGCAGAGTCATTGATGGATGTCGCCATGACATACAGCAACACAAGACACTTGCATTATCTCCATAATTCAGTGAACAAAGAAACAAGACCAGGCGGGTCAGACATTGCGGCCATAGGCCTTCTGAAAGAGGATTTTCGAAAACGAGATTTGGATGATAATTTAATAATGGAAGTAGGAAATGACTACGTGATCCTGTCAAGTGAACAAAAAACTGGCATTGCAGCACTTTTAACCCTTGGGAAAATTGAAGAGCCAGTCAGCTTAGATGGCTGTGAGAGTCACAACAAAGATTACACAGAAATTGAAATGACTACGTACTATCCAGTTTTGAGAAGGAATGTAAAACTTGTGAGTATGTTCGCACCCAAACCAGGTGGAAATTCAGGAAACGTTGAGAAAATGGTATCAGCTTTTGATGAAGCCGTAAACAAGGTATTACCATCTATAGTAATCTTGATCCAGAAAAGTATAGGGGTAAAGGTCTATATCCCCATGCTTATGTCGGAGACAAGGGAGGCGCTTTAGGCCAAATAAAAATAATAGTTGGTTTCAGGTTTCACAGCCATGTTTTATGTGGGTAGGTAGGTCGGAAAAACATTTAATTTTAAAAAAGTATTTTATCTCAAGTATGCAATAAATATAAGTTAAAACTCATTATAAACTCTTAGTTTTTATTGTTTTTACATCAAGTTTTCACCTGCATACATGTAAAACTTGACATGCAAGGAAACGAGCAACAACTAAATATTTAATGTCAACAATGTTCAGTCTAAACGTTTAAATGTCAATAAAATGTTTATGGTCGGTCATATTTTTGACAGGTCGGTCGGAAACCGGAAACCAACTATTATTTTTATTTGGCCTTATGGAGGTGGTCTATGCAAAGCCAAAGGTGATGAAGTAAAAAACAAAACAGTGTCAGATTTTTCCATATTAAGCAAGACATTCGTCGCCACTTTAAGTACTTTGACAAATTGATGATTGGTGCATATAACTCGCCCACTTCTCTAGAAGCAGATAAAGCAGGGAGGTCGTTAGATAACTTGATAAGCAAGCATTCTAATAACCCCATTAAGATGTGCAACTTTAAGAAATGGTGGTGGTGGAGGAGAAGAAGTCGATGGCAGAAATGGTGCAGGACTTACTCTTCTACATCTGCATCGTCCGCCGAGGTATAAAATGCCAAGTCTGTTAGTACTTCTTGTTATAGGAAAAGACTGTTAGATGTTGGACAGGGTCCTACCGCAGCTGACTGTACCGAAAAACAAAACAATGAGCTTTTCGTTGATATGGACGCATGCGCTTCAGCTATCCAGTACGCAGTAGAAAATGCAGAATCCATTGCAGGAGAGGAGGAATCTTTAGGCCGGTTTACACGACAAGCGTTTTGGGCACGGCACCCCTGAAAATGGGCACCGTGCCAAAACCGCCACTTCGCTATTTACCCGTTTACACGACAACATTTTGTAGACACACTTTTATGATAGGCACCGTGCCCATCGGAAAACGGCACCTCTACTTTCCGTCTATGACGGTATATTTTAAAGAATAAATATGTCGGACAGAAATAGAATTATATATTTATATTTATTGGAACGAAGAAGAGTATTATATGAGCCGAAAATCGAGGGGGGAAACCAATTCAATACTAGAAAAGTACTTTAAGGGCCAGCTCATATGGGCAAAAGTTATCCCGGTTAGCGAGAAAACTTTTCGACAAGTTTACAAACGAGATCTTGCCTTGGTATGAAAATAATATGAAAAGTTACACTGCGTTCATATGAGACAAAAAGTTTTCCCGTGTACCGAGATCTCGCTTGTTGAAAAGCCAGATCTCGGTGACCGGGATAATGTTTTTCCCATATGCAAGAACACAACTTTACCGCTTAGCGGGATAACTTTCTGTCGTATCAGCATCTTTTCAATTCAATTGATATTCAGTGCGTGCCCATCGGAAAACGGCACCTCTATTTTCCGTTTACGACGGTATATTTTAAAGAATAAATATGCCGGCCAGAAATAGAATTATATATTTCTATTTATTGGAACGAAGAAGAATATTATGTAACATGGCAGTGTTATACCATGTTATTTAATATATTCAATACTATATTCAATACTATATATTCAGTATACTGTTATAATTATAAGAGGAAGACCTTAGGCAACCTTCCTCGCATGAATAAGCAAATATTTAGAGAGATTAAAGAACCACGGGAAACGCCTAGTACCACAAACCTCGCAAACAGGACATAGTTTTGTGGTTGATAAACACTGCTAGAACTTGCTTTGACAAACATATTGCGTAGAGGAAATTAGTCATAGTTACAGATTTCTTCCTCTAAAATTTATTATAAAAGCTGAGCACAACCTGAGAGTCGGGAGCGGAGAGTGAAGTGAGAAGAGCCATTTAGGCTAAAATACTTCATAAGCCAACAAAGGCTGAAGTATATAATTAAAAGGCTAGATAATTAAGCCTCGTCAAGTAAACTGAAGAACATTGGAATATTGTAGAATAATTATTATTAAAGAAGACGGAATACAAAGTATAAAGAATAAAGATTCAAAGTTGTGCTCAGCTCAAACAAATAGAGAGATAAGTTGATATATTAAGATTACTATATTATT